AAGCTTATTAGATAAAATATGTAATACGCTTTTTAGGCTAAAGCTTCGTAAATAAGATATCAAAACTGGACGTATTGCAAGAAAATTGTTGTCATAATTAATGTGTTTTACAGTATTTCTATTTATCAAAAGGCAATTTTGTAAAGCAAACACAACACACGTTAATCACCTGAATGAATAACCTCTTTTGTCTTTTTAATGCACTCAAAGMACAATTCTACTTCTCTATGACATTAGTTATTCACTTGTGCGTCTGCTTTCATGACGCGCTTTATCCATCGACAAACTCTCCATGTGCCGAATTCAGTGCAAATAACTTGAAACTTTCTTCTTTTTACCATCTCATTTGCATTTAATTAGGCACATGTGAGATCCGACGTTTTAATCTACGAGCTGCCAGAATAGTATATATTGAATAAACCGCCGTTGATGTACCTACTGAATCGTCAAGAATAAAAGGATTTGAAGTCAAGTTTTCGGCGAMACAACTCATAGGACGAATTACTGTTTCCCCGCAAATGTTTTGTGTGTCTATATTTAACAAATAGATTCTATTTTTCCATGTATCTGTACTCACAGATGACGTCAAAATATGATGAAAACAAAGACGGACGCCCCAAGACGAAGTGTACTTTAACAACACACGGTTCTGGACCAATCCAAAGTTGTAATATGCCAAAAGTTATATAAGTTAACGAAAATATTGACAGTGGGTTACTGAAGTTTGCGACCAAAMAATTTGCCCTAGCAAATAACAAACTGTWCGTTTAAGACAATGTTGATGGTTTTTTTTAACTTTAGATGAGCCCAAATGGTGTGGAACTTAGATCATCTCGCTATAATTCAACCAAGTCGGACGATGTTAAGGTAAAGTGATTGTGTCATAGCGGGTCTCTGATTTCTCATTTTCCTGATATTGTTCTAATCTTTTTGTCCATGCATATGATAGGAAGGTATATTCATTTTTAGATTGTAAAAGCATACAAGCAGTACATCGTTGATCTCCTAACGATTCTTGGCGTAAGTTCTAACAAGTCAGTCGAAATGATGGAAAGCATTTTCTCTGTTGAATTTGATATAGTAAAGGTAAGTTTAAACTAAAAAAGAAAATGAGTAGGACACTGGGTAAGATTACATTGTGGATCAAGACGGACGACTATGGTATTGATATTACAAAATCTGGTGTCAACAAATAGTACCCTTACCTTGGTCGCATGCCTGTGAGCTTGAGGAATAAAGTCGATATCTGTCTATAGGGTGCATAGGTACGGATCACGAGACGGATACGAAACGGATCGAGAAAAGACGATTTTCCTACCACAAGTCGTAGGATTTTAAGCCGTGGTTCAAATTCCACTACAAGTCGTAAATTGCGTACGACTGTTGTAGACAAGTCGTAGGGGCATTTACAAGGTGCGATTTGGAGTTTTTTTGAGTCGTATACTACAAGTCGCACGCGATAATCACTCCGTGTAAATCGGCCTTAACGAAAATGACCTTGCATTGACAGGCCGATGCCAGGGCATTGGCTCTGTCCGCCATTTTGAAAATAGCAAGCAGTGAAGTCCTCGAAATGAGGTTGACTGAAGAAATCAATATTGCGGTAGTGGACCATCTAGGCACAAAATTTCCATGTTCTTGTTTCCACAGTCATGCGAATTCCGCTCTATATAATATCTAAGTAAATCACGGACAAAGAGTCTCAAACATTAAAACACACATCATTTCAGGGTATATACATCACCCGCATGACAATCGCTGCCCATATCGTCTGGGCATTAGTGTTATCTGAGTTGGATTKCTAGAGTCTCGTTGTTCAATTTTTGTTTACTTTAGTCTTTCCATCATGATCAGTGAAATGTGTGAAAGAGTTGGGGAAATGGTCAATTTGTACCTCACACAGGAAAAAATCGCGCACTTTAAAAGGTTGTAAATTTGWYGTAAAACATCTAAAACACTTACATCATATATTTACATCAAATTTACAACCTTTAGAGTGTGCGATTTTTTCATCAAATGAACCATTKTTCTATAAATATTTTGCAGATGTCCAAAAGCGAGATGAAAAGCCCGAAGCTGATGAAAATGAAAGAATTGGATGAAAACAGTACTGTGGTAAATGATGCATTTTACTGACATCAGATATTTAAAGGACCACTTGCATAMGACAACATTTTGTTTGGTTGTAAGAAAAGACAGTTCATAGTTGCTTTCTGATTTTTAATATTGTTTGCTTTGCACAAAATCTATACACCCGAAAGATAATTTGAAGCAATTGAACAGTTGAAGGAATCACGGCGGATATGATTTCTAAAACTCATTTTGATTGGTTCAAAATTGGCGCAATTTTTCTCCTCCCACTCAACCCAAATACACCTTTTCAGTTGCTCTTAGGCCTCGGCAGCGTGTTAAATATGCTTATTGACTTGTTATCGAGGCCTAAGTGCAACTGAAAAGGTGTATTATGCTGTTTGTTACATGTCTTTTGAGTCATTTGATATTCGCTGATTACTATGGTTTTTTTACACAGATTAGCTGGACTAGGCTTTTCAAGCAAATATTCCGCGACGTTGAATACAAACCTGGAGGAAATACKAACATCAATGTTTACAATTTGGAGTATTTTAGAAAACTTAACGAATACGTTCTTACGAAACCCAAAAAGTAAGTCATACTTTTCGAAAAATAGAAGAATAGAATAGAACTCCACACAATCCATTTAAAAGTAATTATGCTCGGCCTCCGCCCTCGTCCAATTTTGACACTTCTCGGAAATTTCCTCGTCCAACTATTTCTTAATTAAATAGACACTAAGCATGGCTCGTTATTTTGATTCAATATTCATCGCAGGGACTTGGCAAGCTATATCGTATGGATTGTTGCTACACGGTATTCTAAATTGCTTTCTAAGAAATATCAAAAGCCTTACGAAACATTCCTTAAAGCGTTTGATTATGGACTTCCCAGTGAAAATCCTCGCTGGGAACGATGCATCGCTGAAGTGAAAGGTCACTTTGGCATGGCCATTGGGAGATTGTTTGTTGATGAGGTGTTCAGAAATGGCAGCAAAAAAGAGGTAAATTCTAGAATTGAAAAGAACACTAGGAAAGTAGCTACAGGAAAAGTTTGACGTTTAGAGCCGGGTTGTTCAAGTCTCGATTAGCGCTAATACTGGGTTAAGAGAGCCTATCAAGTTAAACCTGGATTAACGCTAATCGGTCTTTGAATAACAAGACCCTCAAGTGAAATCCACTCATTATGCTGATACAAGGAACGAATGAAAAAGAAAAATGTATGTTACGGCCCGTTTTGTCATCATGATCTTATAAATCAAGTAGCGGATTTTATTAATTATAATATACAAATGCCCTCTTACTTGGCTACAATTTAGGCTATTGAGCTGGTGGAAGATATGAAACAGGTCTTTATTGATGATTTCGATAGTGTGGATTGGATGGACGATGTAACAAGAAAAGCAGCCAAAGAAAAGGTGTTTGAATAATTTTGTTTATTATTGTGGTTAACCGTTTTGAAAAGGACATTCTAAATCACTGGCCGTATTGCAGTACATGGATTATTTATGGTATTATTACTATTATTATTATTTATYATTTTTGCAATTTATGGTATTGCAGACAAGAGGCGCCCAAATTACGCCCCTCCCCACCCCCCTCCCGTGTTTCCACCTCAATAAGTATTTGGCCATAAAGCACAGAATCTGACACCTTTCATTTTTCAGTTTCCAATTAAAGTTCTAGTTAATTTTAGACGTTGCCCCACCCCCTCTTCAAGTACGTAAAATTGGATTTTGCTCCCCCCTCTGGATTCTCAATCCTCTCCCCTCCTGATAAATATTGCGCAGTCCCAAACAATAAAGCAACAATAGTATTAGGGCTTACGACAGTTAAGGGATTATAGCACGTTAGACAAGTCCAAGATTAAAAACGTACAATAAGCCATACGTCCACAGATTGGTTTACATCTGATCCTGGCTATTCTTAGACTCAGTTTTGATAAATTCATGAATTATATTTATGTATTTAAGGCAGAAGCTATGCATGGTAACATTGGGTATCCTGACTTTATTATGGACAACAAAAAGTTGGATGCTCTTTACAAATTGGTAAATATTATTTCAGGTTGACAAGTTCAGCACCAGGCACGAGATGATTTTAAAGCATTTAATTGCTTTCTGGTACTATAGTATCGTGTAGTGTAGAATTTGTACTATCGTGCTACGTAACCCCGCCTGTATTGACATTAGATACAAGACACTTGTGAAACTGCAACAGTACAGTTAGCTCACCCTACGAAAGTACGGTACACTCTTGTAAGCGGTCATTTACAGTCAAGTTGATTTTTCTCTCAGATTACCGTCAAAAATAATACGTACTTTAAAAACGTTTTATCTACGGAGGGAGCGGGCACTGCAAAAGCGATGAATGAAATGGGCAAGATGCCTTCAAGAAAAGAGTGAGTATAGCTATATTATATGCCTCAGTTGCAGTATGCACATTGTGTGACATATACACCTACTTGCGAAAACGTTGTCATAAAAAATAGGACATTTGTATTTTAGTTTATAAAACTTATTAATAATGCATAAGCTATTGCTCCAATAAGGGCTGACCATTTAATCAGGTGATTGACCTTGTAAATCTGATACAACCACTAGTGGTTGTATCAGATTTACAACACGGTCGTCACCATTGAGACAACCCAACACTAGCAAAGGTCTCAGTTTTAGTGTCGCATCATATACCTTCACTAGGTTTTGAAGCAATCAAAGACGGATAACAGAACTCGCTTATGCAACAGATGGCTTGCTTTCCATGTGGGATGGATAATTATTCAAAATGTTCTGTGTTGCAGTAAATTGCGCATGCTTGATAGGTACTAAACTAAGCAGTTACCTTATTTGTCATTTTTCTTCATTTATCTCACTGTAATTCATGTTAATTTGTGTCGGAGTTGTATAAGTCGTTTACAACATTCGCGTCCGTGTTGTATGGGAATTACAATCTCTGGCCTGCGGCTCGAGATTGTAATTCCCATACAACACGGCCGCTCACGTTGTAAACTATACAAAAAGTAATGAATTAAAAAGACAAAAGAAGATCACTGAGGCTGAACGCTTTCTTTTGTCTTGATTTAATTTATTCTTTTTTACTAAATTCGAATGTTCTATTTTCTATGACAACGTTTCTGCAAGTAGGTGTATATAAAATRCTATATCCGTTTTATAGTACAGTTTCTAAGTTGAGGCTTCCTGTGCCGGGATCCCTGTGTTGTACGTCACGTACGAAAAACGTGGATTAAGTAACGTTCCGAGTTTGTATGTATATCTGGATGTAGAAATTGAATTTCAGGGAAATATGAGTTATAACGTCAGACGAAAAACAATGAAAACCGATTCAGTGAGATAATAAGAATAAAAGTACAGTTATTGAATAACTTTTGAAAGCAGAAGAGTCTTTCAAAATGAAACAATTTCTCTTGAAAATATTATCGATGTTTTCATAAACTCGTAAAACAAAGTTTAATAAGCAAAGTGTAATAATGTGTGATGCACCAAAACGACAAAGAAAAACATACAAAATAAAAAGTGATAAAGTGCAGAACGTTAGAGTGTACATTATTGAACATCACACTATTTGTAATTTTTATAAGAAAATTTTCTTTTAATCGGTAGTACGTACTGAGATCTTTCTTGACAAACCTATTCTACAATATAAGGCTCATCCCGACAGCCCCCCCTCCCCTGATGCGTAGTCAAAAATGTTTGAAATATGTATAGTAATAAAACTTAAAAATATGCAATTTTAGGTGGGTCATCACACCAACTACTATCAATGCAGCATACTCTCCAACAACCAACACGATGGGTAAATACTGACGACTTATTTTAGAAACAACGAAAATAAGAAAAAAACATTTTTTCCATCGGAGAAAATGAGTTAACAAATAGTCAGGCCATATTTTTAAACTCACGCCCCCCACATGGCTACATGCATTTTTCGTCTCAAAATCGTGGTTTTAGAGCATTTTCTCAAAATAACAATTATCTAATGAGTCATTTTTACGCATTTGTCACTTGTAGATATTCCTGCTGGGATTCTGAGAAGACCTCTCTTTTCACATACCTATCCTGGGTAGGTTATTCATTATAATGAATAGAAATCAGAGTTTGGACAATGATTATCAATAGTAAGGGACTGCGCATCATTTATCAGGAGAAATCCCCCCCCTCCCTCGCAAACGAAATAAAAAACGCTGTGCCGCCCTTGTTAATTAACTATATGTATAATTACACTTCAATTTCGCCCAAAAGCACCGAATCTGACAAAGTTGTATTTTCAATATCCAATTAAAGTTCTAGTTAATTTTAGATGTTGACTCCCCTCTTTAAACACATAAACATAGATTTTGCAGCCTCCCACCCGAAACTCTGGATTCTCACTCCCCCCTCCTGATAAATACGGCGCAGTCCCTAATAAGAAACACAACAAGTTTCATARCCATGCAAATCATCCTTGACTATTGCCTTGCAATAGATTAACCCTTTAGCTCTGGTCGAGAATAGAAGACTGTGTAACACGAAGTGACTTTTTTGTGTAGATCCGTTAACTTTGGAGCTATTGGTGCCATCATTGGTCACGAGATGACTCATGGATTCGATACTATGGGTAATGAAATCCCTTCCGATGYCTTTGTTAAAAACAGATTAAGATATGTGCAGAGATGCTTACATGAAATGATAATTAAAGAAGTTTAAAGGGTGGCTACAGTCAATAGACCTAATCGGCTAACGGCGTTGCTATGTGCGTTGCCACCCAATTCAAATCCTGTAGGAAAAAGAACTTTTATTTCTAAGAATTCAACT